CACACACACGCGCGCACGCACGCACACCCCCACACACGCGCGCACACACACGCGCGCGCGCACGCACGCACGCATGCACGCACGAACCCACGAACACATACAGGCACGACCAGACGCACACACACGCGCGCACGCACGCACACACACACACACGCGCGCACACACACACGCGCGCGCACGCACGCACGCATGCACGCACGAACCCACGAACACATACAGGCACGACCAGACGCACACACGCGCACGCACGCACACACACGCGCACACACACGTGCGCGCGCATACACACACACACACACTTGCGCGCGCACACATAGAAAAAGGTTTACATCACATTCACCGCTTCGCTGGCTTACACAAGAAAGCTAACCCGCAAGTCATGAAGGGATCAAATTTGAGAGATTTCTTGACATCATAAAAGACCCAAACGCAATAACATCTGCTGCATTATCGCACGAAGAAGAATATTCAAATTTCACTCGGTAAATAACAAACTTAAAAAAGGAAATAGGGTACACATTTTGGGAACACTGGTATTTCGAAATACTGCATCGTCTATAGATTCATGTAGATCTATTTACGCAAACACACACATATACTACTAACGATACAACAGGCAAAATAGAACCTGTCTACACATGAACGAAACAAAATGCAGGTAGACGACACACGACGTCTCTTACCCTCTACTACGAAAGATCACGATGAGGACGTGCCAGTACAGAGAGAAAATCACAGTATAGTTCACATCTACTCTACGTGAGACCATTTCACCGGAGACACCACACACGGAGTCTACAGTATACAGCTGCGGGCCGGTTCCACATGCCCGTAGCCGCGGTACAGGGCTCTACGATATAAGTTATACCAGGGGGTTAATAATGCTGAGAGGTACTAACCTTATGTGTGAGTGTGTGAGTATGTGTGCGTACGTGCATTTATGTGTGTGTGTGTGCGTGCGTTTGTGTGTGCGTGTGTTCGTGCGTGCGTATGTGTGTGCGTGTGTTCGTGCGGGCGTGCGTGCGTTTGTTTGTGCGTGTGTTCGTGCGTGCGTGCGCTTGTGTGTACGTGTTCGTGCGTGCGTGCGTTTGTGTGTACGTGTTCGTGCGTGCGTGCGTTTGTGTGTATACGTGTTCGTGCGTGCGTGCGTTTGTGTGTATACGTGTTCGTGCGTGCGTACGTTTGTGTGTATACGTGTTCGTGCGTGCGTGCGTTTGTGTGTACGTATTCGTGCGTGCGTGCGTTTGTGTGTGCGTTCGATCGTTTGTTCGTCCTTGCGCACAAGCGCCTTCAAGCGTGTGTGTGTGTGTGTGTGTGTGCGTGTGTGCGTGCGTGCATGCGTGCATGCGTGCCTTCAAGCACGCGCGTGCCCGCGAACGTGTGTGTGCGTGCGTGCGTGCGTACGTGCGTGCGTGCGTGCGTGTGTGTGTGCGTGTGTTCGTGCGTCCGTTCGTTCGTGCTTGCGCACGTGCCCTCGCGTGCGTGCATGCGTGCGTCATACATACCTAGCTGACTCTGACCCTTCTTTAAACGAATGGTCCTCTCCAGAGCTGCTGGAAGCGGTGGGATATCTGAGCTCCATGAGCCAGTCGAACCTGAAAGCGAGCAGCAGCCATGTTGAATACACTAGCAATAAAAATTCATCGGTCGGAACTTTCACCTGACGTAGAATCCCGGTGGTTCGAGTGTCTTTTCGGATAGAAAATCCTCTATCTCATTTCTCTCATATTCTTTTACAAGGCAGTTTATTCTCGAGAACGCAGTAGCGTTCTGTTTCGCTAGTGTGGTATACTGACTGTAATGGGAACGGAGAGTGTGGATAGCTTTACGGGTAACGTATCTGGATCAAACAAGGCTGGCTCATGTTCAAGTCCCCACCAATCATTACGCTTTCTCATGTGTCCCTGGGCAGGGCACATCCCTCTCTGTGCCCTAGATCGGAGTGAGATAAAAAAAAAACTAGAGGGACCACTAACCCTGCAAGGCAGAGATATCCTGGCAATGCACCACTGTATCGTATGTTGTGCCCCTGGTCTAAACAGCCGACGTACTTGCTTTGTGCAAAAACATGTGTTATAATAACTATTGCACTGAGTATTAAATATGTTTAAATCTTTTAACCTATTTCATATAACACTTATAAATTACTTTATGATTACGGAATTATAATGGGGCGAGCTAAAATGAACGAGAATAAAAGAATCAAGAACCACGTTGTCAATAAGCTGATAAACGAGAAAAACGCAACAGACTCTCTCCCACCCATACGTCCAAGTCTACACTGTTCATAAAACCCCCTACTTATCTGAGAAAAACTTATATATCTGAGAAAAAATCATATTATATATCATATATCTAAGAAATCTAATATATATATCTGAGAAATCTAATATATATATATATATATAAGCCTCGTTCACACGAGACCTCGTATTTATGAAATACGGTATTTGCGAAATACCGAATCTGAGACAAATACGCGGCCAAGCGTTCACACGCTGATTCGCGGCTCCAGAAATACGGTATTTGCGAGCTACGAGCTGCTTTAGTAACAATCAAGCGAACAATGCGAAATGCAATGCGCACCAACTGCCGATAAAATACGTAGACTGGTCCGCACTCGACAGTTCCACTCGCGTTACACTGGAACTGTCGAGCGCGGACCAGTCTATAAAATACGCGGCTTCAGAAATCCGATATTTAGCGTGTGAACGAGGAAATGCGCGGTCCAAGAGATCCGGTATTTCTCAAGCACGGCAAATTATTCGGGGTCTGGGAAGCCGCGTATTTACATCAAATACCGGATCTGTTTAGATACCGTATTTCTTGGGCCGCGCATTTTGCCTCGTGTGAACGCTAAATACCGGATTTCTTGCTACGTGTGAACGCGGCAATATCGGCAGTTGGTGCTCATTGCATTGTTTATTTCGCATTGTTCGCTTGATTGTCACTAAAGCAGCTCGCAGCTCGCAAATACCGTATTTCTGGAGCCGCGAATCAGCGTGTGAACGCTCGGCCGCGTATTTGTCTCAGATTCGGTATTTCGCAAATACCGTATTTCTGGAGCCGCGAATCAGCGTGTGAACGCTCGGCCGCGTATTTGTCTCAGATACCGTATTTCGCAAATCCGGTATTTCAGAAATACGAGGTCTCGTGTGAACGAGGCTTATATCTGAGAAATCTAATATATATATTATGATATATATCTGAATCATATATCTGAGAAAAAACTCATATATCTGAAAAAGTGGTTAAATTACCACAAAAATATACCTAAAAATGTATGGGTAGGCAAATAATAGGCACGATTCCCACCATATACCGTGTAAGTAACAAGAAACTGTTCCCTATTGTGATCCCTACACATGACACGACACTTACCAATACTGAGGCTCGGTGAAGGCATGGGTGAGGGACGAGGTGAGGCGGCTGGGGTCGAGGCCTGTGACCCGTAAGTCATAAGGTCACTTGCGGTGACATCACGGCGCTCTTCTCTGCTATACCGCCTCTGCAAGTGGAGAAAACGAACACGTCAGACAATTCGATCGGTTAAGCATCACACCACTGCAATGCTTTCTCAAGAATTTGTTTCTCACACGATCGAGTGACACCTTTGTACGTTCTCGCAGGCATCGACACCAAAAACACACACGTTACATACTTTTGTCAATAAAATAGCGACAAAAACCGCACGCTTGTTGCTAATTAATTACACACATTGCTGTAATTTTCATTCACCTTAGCAAGAACGACAACGATTAGTTTGCCCACTAGGTATACGTAGCAGGTGCCTTTGCAACAGTTCTCACGCTAAACAATACGACGCAGCTAGTAGTGTGTAAATATACGGTGATCCAACACAGCCCGTAATTAACAGCTGGCAAACATGCGAACACGTACACGAGCAACCGACACTGAGCAAATCCTCGTGCACGTGTAGAACGTGGAAAATTCCTAGAGAAGAAACTCCAAGAATCACTAGATGCGAACTGAACCTATCAAGTCGACTTCCAAGGTTCACATCCCGAACGAAAATCAGTAAGCTGTACAACTAGACCGTTCTATTTGCCCGCAGATTGTATATACTCTGCCAGCGCGAGGGACGCATATAAAGGCATATAACGCTATTTTCAAACTCGTCAAGAACAATGCATCCAGGAACTCGTAGCAATGTTTGCAATAAGGGATTGCCACCCAATAGCGTCTGACTTCATGTGAAGTTAGTAAATATACGGAACAGCCCTTTGCTCTGACCGACCAATGCAGTGCACATTCTACAAATGAACATGAGGTGAGAGGATATCGTGATTCCGGTTGTGCGGCTGCAAAGTTCGCACATCGCGTGTTATATTGACATTATATTTATTGTGGCTTTGAACATTTATTTAAAAAAATTGGTAAAGTAACGAGTAACTTCCTATATTTTCCTATCGCACTGCCAGCTGTAATCAGCATATATACAAATTAATATTACTAATAACAATATTCGCACAACTGATCACTATTGCACAGTCACTGTAGTTACTGTATCATATTGATAATAATAATAATAATAATAATAATAATAATAATAATAATAATAATAATTGCACATCATCGCCCACTATAGTTTCCGTATTGTAATCATTATTGGAAAAGTTTTATATATACTACTAGTAGATATACTATATATATTATATATAGTATTATCTATTCTATTCATATCTGTAGTTCTTTTTACTGTGTGGTGACCAACCAACACTACGGTAAATTAAATTTCAAATTTTATGATAAAACATTATTATGGTATGGTGCACAGAGACTGCAACTGAAAAGAACTGACCAATGAAAACTATCCTAACAGTAAAAATATACACAAATTATATATTGACTTATAATATTCTTACGGTATAATAGTTTTCGATTAGATTTCAATTTTGATTGTTAAATTAAATTCTTTGCCACTAGGTTGAGTTTCATCGACTTTGCCCACTTATGCTCTATTGGCATGCCCAAATATATTCTTCTTAAACCATTTTTCACTACACAGATACATGTATTCCCTAAATGAGTATAACGGACAGTGGGAGTGGTTCCTAACCGCCTGTATGCGACCCAGACCTAGTCTGAAACCAATTCAAAGTCACTAAGTGTCTCAAATGAGTGTCAGAAGTTTCATTTGACGCCCAACAGTAGCTGAAGCAAGTGTGGGGGAGTATGCTGGGTTGGTCCCACGACCAAAACCCACCAGTCCTCAGAATGGGTCGCAAAAGTCGCCCCACGACCAGAATTTGGGTTGCAAATCTAGCCTCAACGACCAGAATTTGAGTTGCAAATCTAGCCTTAACGACCAGAATTTGGGTTGCAAATCTAGCCTTAACGACCAGAATTTGGGTTGCAAATCTAGCCTTAAGGACAAGAATTTTGGTTAAATATCTATCCTTAACGGGCAGAGTTTGCGTAGCAAAACCTAGCTTTAGCCACACTACTAGATTCTGGGTCGCAATACCAGCCTTACGCCCAGGGGAAGAACAATTTAGATCGCAGCTATAAAAGAGGGGGGGTAGGAACCACTTGTCCGCTGGGTTTATTACTATTCATATGTGTCATATACTGATTTATGCGAACACACGAAGAAAGAAGCATCACAGTTAACGTTCTATGGACTATCGTTTCACGCTGCACACCGATATATCAGCTGCTTTCATACATGTCCTTTCGTCGTGTACAATACCCACAAGTCGAGTCACACATACCACACATACAAGTCGCAACACACTGCTGCGCCTTTAACGTACACTGCCATATTTTACCTGTCAAGTCAGATTCATTCACATAACTAGGTAGAGGAACACCGGGGGGAAAGAGTGACGGAACATGCATCGAGTTTTTATAAGGAGTATTGTTTGTTTCCATGACAACACACCCATGTTGAGGGAAGATGAGAAGCTAAGGTAGATTGACACCAGTGCGCAACACTCAGCCAGTTCTCTTTGGCCTGGTGTCTGTTACGTCCACACACACGTACGCGTGCACGCACAGACACGCCCACGCGCGCATACACGCGACCATACACACATTATATAACCGCAATCCGGTGTTTAGTTGGAATTTTTGTATGCTATTGGTTCACAACCTGAAATTTTACCGAAGGAAGAAAACCTCTACTCATCAGAAATCATGAATTAGGTAACAATTTTACCAGACTGCATTACAAATTAAGGCGAGTGTAAAAATGACCTAAACGCCGTACACAGGTGTGTCTTGGCAATTTCAGTCACACTGCTGGAGACTTATAAATATGAAAGGCGGAAGAAGAACTATAGAAGTGAAGAACATTACGAGTTGAGGAACAGACAATGGGACAGCCCGATGAAATATATCATGCTCCTCATACCGCATGTCTCTATATCTCACTTTATCCTGTCACCGGCGCATGCAATCACTCATTCAGTTATTCATACATAATTTCTGGGCAACAACATAAAAATAATTATCGTATCTATATCTAGCTGCTATTAGAGCACATAAACTCTAATGTTGTCTCTTTGAAGAGATGTACACGCGCGCGCGCGCACGCACGCACGCACGCACGAACCCACGAACACATACAGGCACGACCAGACGCACAACACACGCGGCACACACACTGGTGCGGCGCATACAACACACCACACTTGCGCGCGCACACATAGAAAAAAGGTTTACATCACAGTCACCGCTTCGCCTGCGCTTTACACAGAAATCTAACCGCACTAGTTATGAGAGATCATTGAGAGAATTTCTTGACATCATAACAACCCAAAGCCAATTAACAATTGCTTGCATCTATCGCCACGAAGAAGAATATTCAAATTTCACTCGGGGCCAAATAACAAACTGTAAAAAGGAAATAGAGGTACACTTTTCGGCGAAACACTTGGCGTATTCGAACTACTGCATCGCTCTATAGATTCATGTAGTCTATTACGCAACACCAAATATCACTACTAACGATACACAGGCCCCAATAGAACGCTGTCTACCATGAACGAAACAAAGTGCAGGTAGACAGACAGCACGAGTCTCTTACCTCTACTCGAAATCACGATGCAGGACGTCCCTCACAGAGAGAAAATCACAGTATAGTTCAATCTACTCTACGTGAGACCATTTCACGGGACACCAACACGGAGTCTCACAGCTATACAGCTGCGGGCCGGTTCACATCCCGTGACCAGCGGTACAGGGCTCTACGATATAATTGATACCAGCGGGGTTAATAATGCTGAGAGGGTCTATGTCCCCCAGGTACTGTCGGACGGAACGTACCCTTCGGTACTTATGCGTATATTGTCGGCACCGTACCTCGCCTACTCATTAATCGAGTCTAGTAGTCGCCTACGCTTACTCCCTAAACCTAACCCTTAACCTATCAAATAGTTCAGAGGTACGGTCCAGTATACCGGACCGTAACCGGGGTACGTTCCGGCAGTACCTTGGGGGACATAGACCCTATGAGCGTTAATAATGACACATTGCAATTGCCATTTGTCATTATTAACCCCTAGTTATACACACCACCGACACTTCGTACAAACAGCGGATAAGCACCGCACAGATGAGAAAGATATTCGTTGACTAACGATGAATGTTCTAGTGTTTCTCAGATAGGAACAAGTGACGGGCGAAATGAACGTCTTAGACGGGGTTGAGCACGAGTATGACAGATCTGTTTCCGGCTTTGCACGCCTGACCATGCAGCTGCATGCACATTATTATATTTATTTTTATTCATAAATATATATATATATATATATCCTCATATATATTTATATATTTATATATAAATTAGTTGTGTAATAGGGGGACTTATGTACGGCTTGGGACTGAAGCATGCGATTTCGAAGCAAACTGAGCAAGCGATCCGCAGCGGACTAGTGGCGTCAGTTTGGGTTTCCCCTCACTGCTTCTATTCCGAGACTAGTGGCGCCAGTCGGGCGGCTCGCGTCGTCTTAGTCGACTTCGACTCTAAGCACTGCAGTCGTCAGTGAACTTTGCAAGCCAGTGCTTCCAGTCGAGTCGGCTAGTCAAGCCCGAATAAGACCCCCTTTATTAAGAGTTAAAGTGCTAAACCACTCTACTCCCCACCCCCAGCCCACATGTACAATAAGTGTACTCCCCACCCTGCCCACATGAAATAGAGATACTTCCCCTCTCCCCCGTGCCCACTATACTGATAAGTACTCCCCCAACCCCGCCACATTAACTTAAGAGTAATCCCCACGCCCCAGCCCACAAACAATAAGGTTACTCCCACCCCCGACACCATAACATAGGATGTCTCCCCCACCCCACCCACATAACAATTACAGTACTCCCCCACCCCCACCCCACATACAATAGGTACTCCTCACCCCCGACCCACATAACGATAAGGTACTATCCCCCACCCCCGCACCACATAACAATACGATACTCCCCCACCCCCGTTCTCCCACTAACAACTAAGCATTACCTCCCCCACCCCCCCCAACATAACGATAACTT